GAATTTCCAATTTCTCAAACATTAACAAAATAATTTTGTATACATTATTCAAATGAATATCAAATGTTTATAAATATAATTGCAAACATATGTGGTAATTTTCTTCCATACTATCATTCATGATATGAGTTAGAAGAAGATATCATAATTTGCCACATAAATGTCCTATAGTTTCTTTAACCAGGCTGAAACCAAGTTTCATTTAAAAGCTTTCAAAAGCTTTGATATTTTTGGTAACTTTTTTATGCACCAAATGCACTGTGAGAAGCCTGGGTGTTTCCTCATGGTAATTAACATATAACATGGCACATGGATATTGCAAAATAAATATGTGTTAACTGGTAAATTTTGTTTTACAGCTTGATTATAAGAGTTTTAAAATAGTTCCATTGCTTACTTAATTCCTTGTGTAGTAAAGTATAATCAATTCTAATTAAATTTGTTATTCTAGAGATAAATTTCACCCACAAGAGGCATAGATAACAGAATGTAAAAGGTACTTTTGTGTTTGGGGGGTATGAGGGGGAGTAGAATGTATTCTATCTCTTCCTTAGTTTTAAAATACTCCCAAGAATAATATTAATTACTAATTTGTATTCCCCTTCATGAATTATAAAGAAAACTATGGGTAATAAAGCTTTATCAAATAGATATTTCCTCACATAACGTAAATAAAGCAATGATCAAACACAAAAGAAATGTCTTGGTTACAAAGAATTCCAAATAGCATACACAAAGAAGTTGATTGTGCAAAGTGAAGTATTGAAAGGAGAATAGAAAGAGATAGATGGAGATGGCTTTCAACCTGGTGAATTTAATCATGTTGCCAAAAAAGCATAGGTGCCCGACATTGATGTGTAATTTATTCTGGGAACAATAGGGAGCTTGAAGGATGGAAAGGAAGGAAACAGTTAAGACTACCAAAAATATTCTTAAAAAAAATAGGGAAGAAGAGATCTTTGATATCATGCTTGCATTCAATCTATTCACATTTACTTACAAATTAAAATGTATCTTTTTTTAGATAGAGGTTACTCTCACACAGACTGAATCAACCTGCAAAGTGGGCTCATACTGGAAAAAAGAATCCTGTGATCAGAGAAATGATTTCTAATGCTCATTATAAATGTCTCATATTTATTTTTCTATTTTTTCCATTGCAGATAAAGTTCACCCTACCTAGCATATGCAGTACCTATCTAAGGGAAAAACGGCCTTGAATGACCAAATAAAAATAAAGCTGATAGGATCCAGCCTTCATTCATAGAATGATGGAAGTCATCTAATCAAGTCCTGTATTCCACAGCTGAGAAAATTGAATTTTCATACAAGGAAAATAGCTTTCTCAGGGATGACAGCAGATGAATAGCTCTAAGTCTCATGAATGTGGGCACAGGGCCCAAACTGCTCACATTTTATCACCATCCCGAATTACAATGCCTGTTACAAAGTGAGCATGAGGTATTCTGTAGATATTCTAGATAAATTGCATGAATACATGACTGACAGAAGGAATGAGTGTGACATTGTCAGAGCTGGGCTAGTGATCAGTTTGCCAGCATCTGTGCAGTTTAAGATGATGATTTGTTGTGTAACAGTTCCTCAAAAATATCATTTTTGAGCCATGTCAGTTAAAGAAACAATGGCCAGATACCAAAGGAAGCAGGTATTGGGACATTATGAAGTAATAATTCTTTTTAACTTTTGTCATTTTTCAGTGGTATTGCTTATCAGTGGCGTTGCAGCTGTATTAGAGATGTTTTGCTAAAGCCACTCTGCAACACTTGACTCTTTGAGCTTCCCTGGACATACTGTTACTTATATCCACAATACTTCTTCAGCAGTGGTGATGGGCAGACACTTGATTTTACCCTACCTCTAGCAATTTAAGCAACCAGGAGGAAGTACTTGAAACAAAAATAGGGCTCATTCTAAAGGCAGTTTTCAGAAATAAAGAAATTTAGAAGAAGGAGAGAAATAAAGACCATACATATTTAAACTACTTAATAAGAGAACAAAAGGTGTTAAACAGGTCATGATAAGCAAAGTATATCTAGGTCTTGAAGAAATCTACAAAAGATTGGAAAACACCTTTTCAAGTACAGGGCAAAGAGAAGAAGTTGATAGCAGACATTGATGTGCAAACTAGTCAAGTTCAGGTGGAAGAAGAACATATGCCTCTCATATAGATTCTTGGAAGCTATTCCCTACAAATTTAAGTGGTAGTTGAGAGTAACATTTAAAGTGGCTAAAGATTTCTGGGCAATAGCTTCTATGCTCCACATAGTCAGGTTCAAGTGCAAGAGAGGTCTTTGTAAACAGAGTTCCTGGCAGTGCTCTGTGATACAAGAAGGGTCTCTAAGGCTGTTTAGGGACCCAGGTAAACTACCAGCCTCCTTCTTTATCTATACATACAAAGGCTTGTTCCTGGTGGAAAGAATGAGTTTTGACATTACAGTGAGGACTCAGGGATGTGTAAAATGTCATCTCTGTCTTGTTGGGTGACACATCAGCTGGATTATAAGGAAGTGTTTGCACCTCTGTTGGGAGATTTGAAAGTTGAGAAAAGTACTGGAAGTCTTCCCCATGGCTGGTAGTGCTGTGCAAGGGGGTTGTTCTTTCACCTCCATAGTTGATTGGCACATCCTCTCTGGGGACATTTTCATAATCAATGGCATCACTCGAAAAATGGGAATATATGCTAGTCACTATTCTGGGATGAGAGGAGAGGGCACTGTAGTTAGCTGATGAGGTGTCATCAATGGTGTTGAGGTCTTTCAATCCAAGTGTTTGTAGCACCCAGGGATCAACATGGGGCCCAGGTGGTTTTTCACAGTTAGCAAACTCACAAGAGAGGTTTCTCTTGACATTTTTAGGATGGGGGATCTCAGCAGGAGAGTATCCCTGCTCTTTGTGTTTCCTCTTCCCCTTTCCTAATTTTCCACACACTTTGGAGAACTCATCTGATGACAACAATTTCTGAAGAAGTGACATTTGAAAATTATACTTCCTTTAAGTATCTACTAGTTACCCTAATTCTTTATAAAAATAGGTTAAATTTCTAATATTTTTTTCACATACAAGTAAAATGGATTAGATTAGTGTCTGTTACTAAAGTAAAATCAATGATAACATCTTATTTCTTAGGAACCTGAATTCATTTCTTACTCTCATTTTGAAACTTGAAAAAAGCAGATCATGTCTTGAAGATTTCAAATCAGGGAAGTAATAATTTTCAAAATGATGACAATAAAAGCAATTGTTTATTGAATTATCACTGATAAAATAAACAAATTATCATTTGATATAATTTATGAATAGTTCATCACATGCACTATTTCTTTGGATATAGATACTGTTAAAATCTCCATTAATGAGGAAACTAAGGCACAGACATATTTGTGACTTGCTAAGTATCCCTTAGCCTAGAATTAAACCTAAGTTATCTGAATATAGACAGAACTCTTGTTTAAACACTATACAACATTCCTTATGTTATTTTCATTATCTTTCAAAGTAATCCCTTGAAAAAAGTTTTTATTTTAAATCTTGGAGAACTGAGGTCAAGAAAGGTAAAGCTAATTAATGTCATTTAATAATTTAATAATGTCTTTTTCAAGGAATGGTGGCTAGAGTTAAAAGCCAAGGCTAGCCCTTTATTTATGAAAGCTTACTATACAGTAAAGTAGTCAAATCTAGTATCTTTTCTTCTCTGAACTGTTAGATTCAGTAAAAGCAGCAGACACATAATCAATTTAGATTACATAATATCAAATAATAGTTTCTCTAAGAGTAAAGTAAAAATTGATCATAGAAGCAAGCACATACTAGGAAAAACACAAAACTAAAGAAAAAAGAACACAAAGAGACTATAAGCAAGCTATCTTTGAGTTAGAAATAGCTCATTTAAAAGTGTAAGAAAAATGTGAATAAAAAATAATGTACCTGTATATACTGAATTGCTGCTCAAGATACTAGGCTCCAGTTATCATCACAGCATCTTAGATTGAGAGAGATTTTTCACAGATTTTTAGTTTTTGAAGCTACAGGTAACCAAATTTCTAATTGAGAATGATTTTCCTAAAGCCAGAAGATAATTAAAACAACTGAGTTTTTAAATCTTTAATTTCTACATTAAGAAGATAATTAAAACAACTGAGTTTTTAAATCTCTGATTTCCACCTAACTCTCCGTTTTATCAACCTGTTTCCTCAGCAATCCCTAGCTTTTAATATATAAGAAACTCCTTTTGTAATAATGTCTGGATAGAATCTGCAATCTAGATACTTCTAAAAAATTATACATAAAAGTTCTAGTGAAAGTCATGTACTTCCTTAAGAAATGTTATCCATTCTACTCACATATCCCATGACCTGTTGTTGAGTATACTTCTTGCTTTTAATTAAGAAATTTTACACTAATGGTTTCCTTTCTTAAATCACTGCCCTGACCTTATAAAAAAGATTATTACACACCTTGGACTTTTCTTCAAGACATTTAACCAAAGTAGAATTCAGGTATTGTCTGATATGATTATTCTCTTTATGTAGCCTAGCAAGTTCTTCTTCCTTCTGAACCAGAGTATCTTGGAGCTGCAAAAAGCAGACAATGGTGAAGGTTGATCCACTGTATTGACTTTGTAACATTATAATAATGCCACTGTGCCTCAGCCTTCTTAAACTTGATTATTATTCTGTTTGTTTTATGAACACAATTTCAGGGAGTCCTCGTCCTCTGAGACTGAAATCAACAACACCCTACCACTTGATTGTTCAGTTTTGTGCTCTGAATTTTTCATTCATTACAAAGTATCTGAGGGTATTATATGACTTTTAAAATTTTAACCACAAGGGAGTCAGGTAGGTGTAAAGGAAAATGAGCAGCATCAACTGTTTAAATATAGAAAAAAGGTGTTTAGAAAGGTTTACCTGGACTCCTTCCTTGCACATGAAAGAAAGAAAGAAAGAAAGAAAAAGAAAAGAAAGAGAGAGAGAGAGAGAGAGAGAGAGAGAGAGAAAGAAAGAAAGAAAGAAAGAAAGAAAGAAAGAAAGAAAGAAAGAAAGAAAGAAAAGATGGTTGACTTGTGCCACATTCAGATTGATCTGCCTGTTTGTTCAGTAGATCATATTACTTTTGGGGAACAAATAAGAACAAAATATGGAAAATGAAACAATATCTGCATAAAAAACCTTTGTAATCATCATTAATTCTCCAGGCAATTATCCATGTTTATCATTTTAAAATACTGACATGATTCCATTTGGTCTTTCCATTAGGCCTCTGAGATATGCCGCATAAATACTCTAATTTCATGGATGAGGAAAAGGTGGACGTGATAGGTCACACAGCTAAAATGTGATATAGTCAGAGCCTGACTTCATGTCTTCCTCAAGTGTTATTTGTGTATATGAGTGTGTGT